TGGACAGAATCTTTTCGCTATGCAAGCTGATGAGCAGTCTCAACGCCTGATCCACTCAGACGCGGTGAGCTCTGACGACTCCAGTGAGAAACCACATACGCTGATGGAGTATTCCTTCGACCATTTTAGGTGGGTATTAACCCTGATCTCTCCAGTGTTAGCCCTTAAAATTTGGAATCAAATTCGAACACATTTTCTTCTCAAAGTCAGTGTCACTTATATAGGGGTACAACAAATAATATATGTAAACTAGTAATAGGACATTTTAATCATTTAAGGATTTTTTATCATTCTGTGGATTTCCAACCTTTCGGGGGAGCAAAAATATCATTGGTCTAGGGTCCCCACCCCATATTTTTCTGACTTTTTCACTAAGTGGCAGCCTCATTCCTTGATCATTAAAGATAGATGTCCTTTGATAATTATTGATATTTTAAACCTTCCAGACCTCCTCCCAAAAGAACCCTGTCTAAGACTCTCTCCCTGTCCAGTGCCAAGAGACGACGACAGGAGGAGCTATGGCGCTACTCTAAGGAACCACTCAAGCAGCCATTGTTGAAGAAACTCCTCGGGAAAGAAGAGCTCAGCATGGAATCAATCAACTGCTTCCTCTATATCCTTTCTGGGTGTGATAGGTGTGAAGGGTTGAATGTGCTTGGTTGAGACATGTAGAATGTGTTTTTGGTTGAGAAGGGCTCAGTTTGGTTGTTCAGAGTTGCATTTCATGTTGTGATCATATTGATTGAAACAAACTTGTAGGATGTCTCTGCACAGCTTCATTCCATTAAAGTGAGCATAGTCAACAAGTGGGGAAGGTGGGGGGGGGGGAGTTTGGGGGAGATGAGGGGTAGAAAAGATATAAAAGAGAAGACCTATGAGAGCAGTGATGAGGTCCAGGAAAAATAGCAATTTGAAATACACACTAACATTGACATAAGGTATTTAAAATAAGTCTTTTTTTATCATCTTCTCTTCAGATAATGAAAACCGTTTCAAAGTAGTACCAGCATGTTTTTTTTTATGTGAAAAAAGATGGCAAGGCATAATGATAGTTAAAATGTTTGTGCTACAACATGGACACGACTTTACTTTTTTTTCATATACTAGAACATACATGTTTCCAGTGTTAGAAATTAAGGCTGGACTGTCTGCCCGGGGCAGACAACTTTCAGAACGGGCAGAGAAGTTTTCCCACCTGGCAGGCATTCTAGCCAGCTAATTTTCAAGATGGCTGAGCTTTCGGTCCAGCAACTTATTTTCCTAAGAGGCAAACACTGCATGTTTCCCATGTGTTACCATACCCAAGGCAGGTTTTGCATCAATGAACATAATGATGTGGTTTCTGTCCATTGAGACACAGTAAGCCTTTTTGTGAGGTAATGAAGAGTTGATAACGCCTCTTGTTTCATATGTATGAGCTTGAATTAATGAGAGTGTACCTGAGGGGTGTGTTATGCCTCAGGTAGGGCCTGCTAATGAACACACTGCCAGGTGGTGTACTTGTTGTCAGTAATGCATGGCAGGCTTGCCAGTTTGTTGGAGAAGAAAATTGTTCACGTCATAATCAAGGGCTTTTTGTGATACATCCCCCCCTCCTCCCCAAATAACACATTTTTTACTGATTATCATGGTAATGCATTGCATGTTGTTTTCAGCAAATCAATATTTACTAGGGAAATATCACATACTTCAGCAACCTTTTATCTGAATGTTTTTTTTTTTTTTTGTTATAAAGAAAATAACATAATATCTAGGCTCTTTAAGATAACTATATTTGATTTTAAGTACCATGGGCCTGCTATTTTGTCTTAAGAAACCGTGTATCAAAACTGTCTCCTGTCCGTATGAGATTTATGATAAATAAATAAATAACAAAAATATTTTATTGAGCACAAGAATGTTCATACATTTATAGTCTCTATAACTACTAACAAAGAATGGTAAATGTTATATAAAAGATACATGTAGATGGATGAGACCCCTTCTAATACTTTTTGGGTACTTTGCATGATGATGGGATACCATAATTATGATAAACCAGTGGCCAGACTATATAATTGAATGGGCAGTTGACACTTAATGTGTCAGAGGTAGACAAGGTGAGAGCTGATGGTCCTCTGCTGACCATTGGTCATGGTGTTAATGACCATTTCAGAGAAGACATTGTTACGTAATGAAGGGTTTTGTGTTAATGTGTGTTGAATTGGCTTTTTATTGCATTTCATGAATACTAATTGGCTTGTTAGTAGGGAAGAGCCAACATTTGCATAGGAGATGTTCTTATAAAACCATCTAGTTCTGTAAAAGATCTGGGAGTTACCCTCGATGAAAATGGCACTATGGGCAAGCGTGTATCTGAAGTGTGTAAATCAGCATCTTATGCACTATGGCGCATTGGAAAAATAAGGAAAGTGTTAGATAACAAAACCACTGAAAAATTAGTACATGCATTTATATCATCAAGATTAGATTACTGCAATAGTCTCCTCTTTGGTATTTGTGACTATCAGATTAAAAAGTTACAAGTTATTCAAAACTCAGCTGCAAGACTGGTTTGTCAAATTAAGTACAATAGTACACACCATATCACTCCCATTCTGAAAGAATTACACTGGCTGCCTGTGAAGCAGAGGATTGATTTTAAAGTACTCTGTATTATTTTTAAGGCGATCCATTCACAAGGACCATTATATTTATCTGATCTTATCTGTTTTAACTTACCACGGCGGTCCACACGTTTTAATACTGAGAATGATTTTATTTTAGAACATTCTGTTTTAGAGAAGGGGTGCCTAAAAAGTTATGGAGATCGTGCTTTTATAATCTACGCCCCAAGAGTGTGGAATGGTCTACCAAATTTTATTAGGAAAACAGAAGACTTTGACAATTTTAAATCTCTTTTAAAGACCCACTTTTTTAATTCTGTCTATATCTCTTAGATTTT